TTGGATAAGGCAAGGCTGAAAGACAGCTTTAGAAATTAAATTATAAGCATCCAGGTTTGTGACCAGTCCTGCCATTCTTGCATATACTAACCAGCCACTAAGCCTTGTGTTTGTTCTGTTAACCCCACAGGACAACTTACTGCTTCTCAAAGCAGATGCAGGGGATGGATGATGGCATAACAGGTTAAAAATTAAATGAAGTATGAGGAAAACCTATAATATGCATCTCTCGTGAGCACAGCTGCTCCACAATTACTTTCAGGAAGGAGAAAACACAATAATGTATTTTTGTGGCACAAGGTATCTTTTTCTGTAAGCATGGGTAGAAGAACAGAGCCCTATGCAATTTCCAGTCACTTGAAACTGTCTAAGCACAGGTACGCACAAAGAAAAAACACACATACAAGCAACTCTTGCAAGAAGACAGCTAATATAAGCTTAGAACTGAACACAATTATCGTAGAATTACAGGTATTTTTGCCAAACCTTCAATATGCCTCATGCTTTAACAAAAACAAATGTACCCATAGATTTGAGGGAGAGGGGATTTCCAATTTTTAGTAATTACCACTAGAACATTAATTATATGCCTATACACAAGATCCTACTATTGACTATTTCACTGCATAAAGACCTAATTAGCTGTAATTTTAATACTGTACATCACTCAAAGACAACTACATTTTCTAAAGAAAGCCTGAAAGCATTATTTAGATGAGAATTGGGAAAAAAAAACCAAAACAAAACAAAACACCAAAACAACCACAACAGACTAAACGTCTACCTCAAATGGTGTTAAAAATTACTTATAGGCTTACCGCTCAAGAATTGAATGGAAAAAAAATGTAATAAAAGACAAAGTAGTACACTCTTTGCTGTGATAACAAATGAAAATGAGCTTTTGCCAGACATGGCTGCATATAAAGAGGGCTGAGCTGCTACAAGCGCATGGTGACCCCACGGTGGCCCTACACATACACAGCAGTCCGCAGGGATTGATTCGCAGAAGTCCAAGAGACCTCACAAGACAGAGCAAAGTGGGGAAATGCCCCTCCTCGACTGCTCCTTATGGCTCTGACCATCCCAGGCTGAGAAATTATTGTTGTCAATATCATCACAAGAACAAAGAACTCGTGCCCCAAACCTGGGCTTTATCAGCACAGGCCATATGCAAACACTGAGCGAAAAAAAAACAGAGACCGTAGCTGAAGTAGTCTGCAACTTAAATACAGGATAGACCGACTTAGAAGCAACAGGAGTGGTGGTGAGGGTATAAACCAGGTCAGTGCCAGAACTGACCCCAAACCTAAAATCAGAGCACAGGGAGGTAATTTTTTAGCATGCCACATTAAAGCCTCACCTCCTTCAAGAATACAGGTGTTTAGAACAACTTTTCACCCTCCAAGTTTCATCTTTCACTCGGTTCATCAGGCCCTTGAAGGGTATGTCTACACAGGTGACTGGAGACAGACAGGTGGCTCTCCTCACTCCGAATTAGCCAGATAGGAGCCAAACCCCACGCACAAGTGTTAACACAGCACTGAACGAGCTCGTTAGGCTGCAGGTCCATCATCACGTTAATCTGGTCCAAATGACACTCCTAAGCAGTGTGATGAGGATTGCCCCACTTTTCCACCAAACCCACGTCTCTAAAGACTCCTTGGTGCATTTTAGTCATGCATTGAGTCAGATCCAGGAACTCATCCAACTGAAAACCAGGCCAATAGCAAGAACAAGAGCAGATTTGCATTTGGCCACAAGTGGTAATACTAGCAGAGGCGAGAGATCGGGAATGCGTAGCCAGAGGTGAGGCAGGCAGGCTGACCCTTTGGCAGGAGCCCACGTTTATGGCAAATTAAAATGACTGCTGAACCACACACCCTTTGCCTTGCAGAGAGGCAAGTCTTGGTTAGCTCCAGCACTGCTTCACATATAGGTGAACATACAGGCAATCAGCTCCCCAAGAAGGACTCCCTTTGTGTAATAGCTTGTCAAGTCAGGGAAGTGAACGTGCTTCAGGTGATACTTCTTTCTAGGTATGAAGGTGCCTAACTCCTCCCATGACCTATCACTAATAAATCAGATAATGTTAATCTAATTAAAGAGCATTGCAACATTGCAGCTTTCATTTCTTAAGCCTCCTTTGTGGACCCAGGTCCCTTAGAGTATAAGAATATTATAATTTTTAATAGTAATAATGCTAACATTATCCCTACAGTAATTATCCCCAACATTTTCCTACAAACACATCAAAACCAAACAATATAATAAGCAATAGCATCCAGATGAGTCAAGCACCCATCAGTAGATTCTCCAACCTCACTGAGTTATTCTCCACTGCCCTTCAGCTTCTATGAACTACTCAGATCTCTGGTATCGCCAAAAAAAAAAAAAAACAAAAACAAAACAAAGGTCTTACCTCCCTTCCCTGTTTAAAAACATGTATTTTTTTTCTGCTTCCCTATGTCTGGAATTTACATGATCTGTCCCTCATATAGATCAAAACTACTTATCATTGAGAAAAAAAAAAAAAGGCAAATTGATCAGAATTAGGAGCTTCCTATACAGAAAAAAAAATGGAAAAGTTTTTTTTACAATGACAGTCTAATGCTGCAGTTTGCCCCCTTGGAGCAAGGATCTACACTCTGCCACAGGACTTGAAATCATCAGTATTCAAGCGATTTCTGAAGACACTGGCCACTCACCTGTGTTCCCCTCCCATACCACACAGACCAAATGGCAGTCTCCACGTCTTTGGTTGTATTATCCATATTCCCTGACACAACCCTTCTGCCTTGTCATTACCCACGTTCTCCCTGCCAGCACCCCCGATGGACCCATCCAACCCCCCAGGACCCAGGTCAGTTAGATCTGAACTGATCTGGGGGAAAACACAGGAAGTTTATCAGTCAAAGCTACCTCCATAGGAGAGCCCCAAACTTTGTGCCTCTGTTAACAGGCCATTCCCTATGACTTTTCTGGTAGACTATCTCTAGATTCTTCTTTTTTTGCCCAGCTGACATGCTACAGGTTTTATCTGCCCAGGATTTTCTTACATGGTCTTCAAGATGTTTTAAAACTACATTTCCCCACCACTAAACTAAACAAGCCTTAGTAGGGATTAGAAATGAAACCCAAATTGGCAGAACTGAGAAATTTGCAGCTTTGTTACAATATTAGATGAATCCTCGAACATCCTCTAAATAAAGTAAAAGGATGGCCTAAATCTGCTACTGCTTCATGTTTAATTCAGATATCTTTGAGCGAGTGCATCTCTTTCTTCCCCCCCCCCCCCCCCATTTTCTATTCTCATCTCCTATGTATCGAAGTTTATGGTGACTTTAACTTAGACAAAGACCCCAAAACACAGAGGAAATGTTTTAAAAACTTTTTTCTACAAAACTAGTTTATCTGAGGGAAAGAATACAACAGATCTGGAGACCAAAGCACTACATTCTAACAGGGATTTTACAACTTCTCTAAAACAACTATCAGTGTAATGTTTAAACTATTTAGACAGTTTAAAGAGAAGACGAGTACATTATACAGGAACTAACAGAACTTTCACTTTCCTATTCAAGAACATTACAGGTAAGCAGGAAGTGATGATGCTTTTGATACAGAAGATGCAAATGCAAACAAACTCCAGTAGTAGATCTCTGAACTGCCATCAGCTTATCAAATGGAGATAAAGGTTCCCAGAACACCAGCACACACAAAAAGTTACACTGTAAAGTAACATGCCCACGGCAATGTGAGCTTTAGTATTAAAAGACTCTGAAAGGTCATGCATCTTATTACACCTTTGGGATCATATAATAGTTCCATTTTACACTTATTTTAATATAAATTCAAGTGAACCAGGATTAGAGCAGATATGGGGTTTGGAGTACATTTTTCTAGATTAATAATGACCTTCACAGATAGCAAAATCTCAGTCTGAATGAAGATGCAAAACTAGCCTTTTAATTGAATTTATAGTGCAATATTTGTGGCTGAAGCAATTCCCATTTTGTTTTACTGTTTCCCACTGCAAGATAATGGTCTGTTATTACTTACTCGTCTCTCTAGTTATGCCCTTAAAAGGCTCCGAGGCAAACATGTAAAAGCAAATTGTTCAGAGTAACAACGTTACTGTAAAGGACTGAATAAGACAAGACAAGGTCACATGTTTCTAGTTTCTAGAAAACCGAGGATATCCTCACAGGATCCTGTAAAAAAATCGGGTTAAATCTTTGTTGGTGCCATGTGGGTGGGTGGGCAGGCAGCAGGGGTATCCAGTGATCTCCCTCCCAACCGAGAGACCGAAAACGGCACCAGGGAGCCCTCCTCACACGAGGAAAGCTCTGTATCTGTCTAATACTACGCTTCTTTGGGGCACGGGGGGAGAAAGTATAGGTCTAAACAGCAGAGAAAACAAAAAGGCAAACCTCCCCATAAATTCTATTAGATCTTCCTATATTTTTATATATAGCATCGCACTGAAGATGCTGGAGCAAACCCTGCCGCGAAACCGAGCAGGAGCCGCTCACCCCCATCCTCTCCCCGTTCACAGGGTTGCACCTCGGCTTGCACTCTCCTCCCAAGGAGAAGCCGAAGCTCCCCCTTGCCCCCCCCCCCCAGGTCGGGGCTTGCCCCCGGGCCGCGGTACCTGCGCGGCGCGGCCCGGCCCCGCCGGAGCCTCCCGCCACCGCGGGCGCAGCCGGCCCGGCCCCGCCGCCCCCGGCCGGCTGCCGCCTTCCTGGCCATCATCCCTCCACAGCATCGCCTCCTCCTCCTCTCCCCCACCCACGGTTTTTTCTTGTTTGCTTTGCTTTGCTTTGCTTCCCCCTTCCCTATCCCCCCAGCGGGTTGTTACCTTCAATTGCCGCTTTCCCGACCAATTCCTGTCTCCAAACCGCTGCCCACCCACCCCACCCCCACCCCCCCCCAGCACACAAGCAACTCCCGGCAAAGAAAAGGAGGAAAAATAAATAGAAAGAAAAAAAAAAATTACAAACCTCTCCTCCCCCTCTGGGTCCGATACTATATATCCGGCCGAGGGAGGGAGGGGCAGCGCCTCTGCTCTGCCTCCCCCTCCGCCGCCTCTCGCCCCGCGCGGCTGCGGCCGCCCGTACCGGGGGGGGGGCTGCCCGCCCGGCGATGCGCACCAGCTCGGGCCGCCGGCGCCCGGCTCCTCCCCGCCGCCTCGCCCGGCCCCGGGTCCGCGCGGGCTCTGCAGCGGGAGCCGCCAGGCACACACGGCGGGTGGGGAGTCCGTGTGTGTCCGTCCCCCCCCCCACCTCAGGACCCCCCTTCTTCCCCGATCCCCGCTGCTGCCGGCATCGCCCAGCAGCAGCGCGGCAAAGCCGCGTTTCGCTGCCCGCTCCCTGCGCGGCCCTGCCTCCCCCCCCCCCCCCCCGCCGCCGTGAGCGGTGCCGCAGGGTGCCCGGGCACGCCGCGGCAGCCCTCGGAAGAATTCACAAGGAGAGGCGAGCGAAGGCTCCCTCCCGCAGGGCTCCGCTCCTTACCGGGCTGCCGCGGCTCCTCCGCCCGCACCGCCGCCTCCGGGCTCCCCGGGGCGAGCGGCCGCGGCTTCACGGCGCCTCGCCCAGCCCCGTCCCTTCCCTCGTCCTACCCCCGCCGCCGCCTGCCACGGGGGGGGGGGGGGGGGCGGCAGCGCCAGGCGGGAGCGGGCAGCCGGGGGGGGGGGGAGTGCGGGAGGGGGGGGGCGGGCAACCGGGGGGCTGGGGTGTGACGGGGGGGGGGCGGGCAGCCGGGGGGTGGGGGGGGGGGGGGGGGGGGGGGGCGGGCAGCCGGAAGGGGGGGGGGGGTGAGATGGGGGGGGTGGTGAGATGGGGGGGGGGGCGGGCAGCCAGGGGGGTGTGCGGAAGGGGGGGGGCCGGGCAGCCGGGGGGGGTGCGGGGGCTATAGCCCCTGCCCGCTGCCGGGAGGTGAGAGGAGACGGCCAGGGAAGGGGGGGGGGGGGGGGAACCGAAAGCTTTCGAAATCCAGGACGAAGGGGCAGGGCAAGTGGTCCCTCGGGTGTCCTCCAAGGTTATTACACCTCCTTCTCTCTTCAGCTTAAAGCAGAATTTACCTCTGCGTTTAAAACGAGTAGGAAGAGTGTTAAACAAAGAAACAGTGTAATAAAATCGGCATATTAAGTTAATTACACAATTTGTCTTACAAGCATTAGGGAAAAAAAAAAGGAGACATGCAGCATACCTACTCAGCCACAAATACTCACCTTTGTCACAAATATCAATTTTCTCACATCAGTCATAGAAGATACACCCTTAGAAAGATCTTTTCAACCCAAAGTGAGAATCAGCAAGATGTGGTGCCTTTATATCCTCTTATTACACTTAGAGTATGTACAAGCATTAATTAATTTTACAAGGTTGTGTTCATCTAATTACTGTCTTCAGTTTATTAGTGCTGAAAAAAGCCAGCCCCAGCAAGGTTGGGTAAGATGCCCATTGGTGTCTGAATCGGTATCAGAGCTGTCAGCAGAACACCACACGCAAAGGGATTAGATGGTACTACACCCACAGTTGCAGTTTTCCAGCCTATAGCTCCTTTCTTGAGGAGCTTAAAGGCTACAGGTGCCTGCCATTTGCACATGAGAGCTCCCTGCACGTGTCTGCACACCTGGGCACTAGGAGCTGAAGCCTAAGACTAGGTAGAGTCTCCAAAGCCTTCACATTTTCACCTTATTCTGGCTGGTGTCCTTACAGTACGCATCCCGGTACCCTTAATGTGGACCATAAAAGTCCAAATCGCCCAGGTCTGTGTCAGCTGGTCTCCACACTACCCCTGCAGAGCTGGAGTAGGGTTATATGCGTGGGGTCAGGTAGAACCATTCAGGGAATTTGTCCCACACAGCAGGGTGGGATTGTACATTGACTTAATCATTTGTATAGGTGGAAGAAAGGCTGCTGCCTTCACCAATAACTACGTGCTATCTTAATCAGTTGGCGTACTCAAAAGGAGAGTGGAAGCTCTGGCTTCAATTTAATTTTTTCCTTTACGAGGGAAAACAACCTACAACTGCTTTTGTGGTTGGACTCAACGACCTTAAGGGCCTTTTCCAACCTAAATGATTTTATGATTCTAGCAAAGGAGTTTCAGATTCATTCATTGGAAATGTAGTGGGAGGGAACTTGCAAGGAAAGAAACCACAGGAAGTGGTTCTTACCCCAAGAAGTCCCAGCTATTTGCAGAGAGTGACTGAGGGTTGATGAGATAATTCCGAGTCAACAGGGTTTTGGTTGTCTACATCTCAGGCATATCTTTTGACATAAACATCTGCCTGGACGAACAGGCCAGGCCTCTGTCTAAACTGAAAAAGCCAAACCTGAACTAAAGGCGACTTCTTGGCACTAAAATGGGGAACAAGCAGGCAAAGATGTGAATTAATAGAATAGGCAGTCAGGGGTGGCTTTGTTCAGACTGTGATCTTGCAGTCTGAAAAATAACCAGAAGGGAAGTTTCTGGGAAGCACAGAATGAGAGAGAACTATTGCTAGCATTATCTTTCAGGACACTGAATAGAGAGCTTGATAAGTATCAGTTCTTGCAGAAACTCTTTCAAGAGATTTCATGGAAGACAAAGTACATTCAAATCTACGAACCTATAGACATTCCTTTGTGAAGTTTCAAAAAAACCAAGCAGGCTTGAAGAACAGTTCCCAACCAAGAGCCAGTTAGGACATTAAACAGATAGCGTGTCAGAGACAGTTCGTGACAGCTGCACAGAAATCTCTAGAAAATACTTGAGGGGATGCTTTGGTTGAGATGAAGAAACAAGAAAGAATCATTAAAACAATCTGAGAAGACTACCCTTTGAACTGATGAACTGAAGGCAGTGATGCAGCTCTCAAATGTGTCAAGGGCTGGGGGAAATCTAAAGGCTTGGCTGAAAAAATGCCTCTTAGCTAGTTAGAGTAGTAAAGCACAAATGATTAAAAGGAGTAAAAAATGTAAACTCTCCAGCGTACTCTGCCCTCAGGGAAAAATGAGAGAGATTATCTTTCATTGTTCTTTCTTGAGTAACCCTCTTAATTCCATCATTAATTGCAGTGACTGAGCTGGAGAAAGTGCTGTTGCAAGCCTGGAACTTTAGTGCATATCACAAGGACAAGGCAGGAGTTTGAAACCAACCCTGCTGGAGATTGCATACACCTGAACCTCTAACACAGTTAGTACAAGGAAGATGTAAAAGCAGGAAAGTTACATTTAACATCAAACTACCATTAAATGATTTGATGCAAAACAGCTTAAGGGAAGTTGCCTGACGAGGGTCCATGAAGCTAGTATTGGAAGAATCAGAACAGCATCTCCCTCACTTCCCTTTGACAATGTGCCCTAACTCTACCTCTAATGGATTATTGAGGAGCAGAAGATCAGGATGAGAGAGTTGAATGTTGGAAACACGTAGCTGAGTATCCTTGGGGCAGATTAGCCTTGGTACAAAACCCCTCATCTTTTATGGATGATGAACTACGGAACTTTACAATTGCTTCACAGAAATTAGGGGAGGTTGAGCAGTTTACTTCCCCCAAGGTCAGTCAATAATCTTTCTGTTACAACTGCAGACCTGTACCAGACACAAGGATGCCTTACTGTAACCTGTTGACATAGTCTTACCCAGTGTCTCATTTCAACGCATGCCAAAGCACAGACACCACCTGGTAAGGAGTCATGGTCTTTCCCCCTTCATACACCACATTCAGGAGTATGGTTTAGGTATGAAAAGTTTTCTTTTAAATAGCCTATGGATTCAAAATGAAGGATACCTCTTTTGCAGGTTTAACAGAATATACCGTTTCCTTGAAAAAAAAGACAAAACCCAAGAAACTGATTTTTCCTCCAGCTTGATTTATGCACCTTTACATCATTAAAAAGTTAGAGACCTCAAGAGAACATCAACAAAGCCTTAGGAGCACAAAACCAAGGAAGCACTTAAACAGAGTAATAACTTAAATACCTAACAACAAACCTCAAGTCATTCACAGGCTGTTAGTGAAAGAATCCTATCCCAGCAGGGGTATAGTTTCATCTAAATGCCAAAGTGAAGTGCTTAATCTGCTAATTTATACAAGAAAATGAATTGCATACATTTTCTTAAGAAATTACTTTAATTTATAGTCAAGTAACTGGCCTAGTTGCAGTTTATCTGTGACATAATTTAATTCTGTCAGAAAAAAAATCCCACAACTTCTGATTAGTTTAAAAACCACTCCATGACACTGATGTATTTTAACAGATGAAGCAGTAAAGAACTTCACTGCCGTTAAATATCATTGGCAGTAACTCTGTATGGCGCCTACACTTGGTTGAGCACCCAAAATCAGTTTAGTACTCATCTCAACTCTTGAAAGGCTGGATAGAACATTTGTGATCAGCTCTTGAAAAATATTATTGCTTATTTTGAGGTTAGCTGTGAGCCTAAACATGGAATTACTATTAGCCACAAAAATATTTTCAACAACTTGGGAAATAATAAGCACAGATACAGAGGTTTGTTTGTTTGTTTTTGTCTGTTTGTTTTAAATATGAGCAAAGCAGCTTAGTCTGAAGAAAGTGAAATAGCCCAGAAGATCTATAAACTGAAAAAAAAAAAAAAAAATCCAGATCCTTAGGGCTATCAACATATCAGAAATCTAAGGGAATCTAAGGGTAAATGTTCAGCAGCCATTTTGATATTACTGCTTATTTTTCTAATAGAAATGGCTAAAGTTGTCTGACTGCTGAAATTTATTTTATCCCTGCTTTTTAATTGCGCATAACCTTCTTCAACAACTTCTTTATTAAGCTTACCTTTATCATGCCTCATTTCAAAAGAGAAAAGTACTTTTATTTTATTGAAAGCTTGAGGAAATCTAGTTGAATTACTCTGAAAAACGTGTATTCTCTCAGATATGAGTACTTCACAGACTGCACTAGGTGTTATGGACTTGGACCTCAAAACCAGTAGAAACTGGGGTCTTCATTCTTAGTTTGTCAGGAAGATCTGATTCCCCTTACACCAACCAAGGAATTATTAACATTGACATTCTTACTCATTAATAACTATGTGAATCCTATATGTTACGTCTGAGTTCATGCTACTTCTCCTATCTGAGACCAGACCTGAGCAGGCCTCAACTTTAATAAGAGCATCATCAAGTCGAGAAACGTAAATTATCTCTTTTCTTCCCAAGTACAGCTATGTGAGGCCATGAATGCAGGTTCTCAGTTCAGACAAACACTTCTAC